TAAATAAATAATAATTTAGTAGTAAATAATTGATAAGATAATTGTATGCCAATGATAACATAATAATAAATACATAATAATATAGTGGTAAATAATAAATAACTTAATGGTAAATTATTTATACATAATTGTAAATATATAATAATACAATAGGAAATTAAGGATAATTTAATAAAAATAAGTGATAACTTAATAGTAAAGTAATGATGACTTAGGTGTAAATTAATAATAATTTAATAGCAAATAAGATTCAGTTTAATACTTTCTTCATCCTAGTAAAATTGTCACATTTTTATTTTTGTTGGTTAATTTTTTAACTTTAATAACTTTTTATTTTATATTTATTATTGATAAAAATATGAAAACAATATATTTTTAAAACTTTAAATAAAATGGTTTCTAAATATATGTTTTATAAATTTGATTTATTAAAATATTTAAAATAATAGATGTCAAAATTAAAAATTTTTAATAAAAAAAAATCAACTGTGACAATTTAACTGGGATAGATAGAGAGAATAGTAATTAATTGACAAATTTAGTGGTAAATCATAAAGAACTTAATAATAAATTAATGATAATTTAGTAGTAAATAATTTAGAACTTAGTACTAATTAATAATTGAAAAATTAAAAGTAAATCAATATAACCTAATAGTAATCATCGATAAATTAACAGTTAATTAGTGATAATTCTGTATAGTAAATTAGTGATAACTTAATAATATATAAATAATAATTTAATAGTAAATAATTGATAACTTAGTAGTAAATCAATAAAATATAATAGTAAATGCATAATAACTTAATAGTAAATCAATTATAACATAATTGTAAATGCAAAATAGTATAGTAGTAAATCAATGATAACTTAATAGAAAAATAAATGATAACTTAATAGTTAATCATTGATAATTTAATAGTAAATCAATGAAAATTCAGTAATAAATTACAAATAACTTAATAGTAAATTTGTTTTAGTTTAATAGTAATTAAATTATAAACTTAGCAGTAAATCATAAATAACTTAGAAATAAATCAATGATAATTTAGTAGTTAATCACTAAAACTCAATAGTAAATCAATGATAACATGGTAGCAAATGCATAATAGTATATAGTAAATCATTGATAATTTTATAGTAAATTATTGACAATTTAGTAGTAAATCACTAACAATGTTATAGTAAATTATTGATAACTTAGCTGTAAATTAGTAACAATTTAGTATAAATTAATAATGATTTAATTGTAAATTAGTTAATTATTAACAACTTCTTAGTAAATCGTCGATAACTTTATAGTAAATTAGTAATAATTTTATAATAAATTATAGTAAATTAGAAAAACTTTATAATAAAAGTATCTATAACTTAATAGTAAATTATCAATAATTTAGTAATAAATCGTTTATAACTTAGTAATAAATCATCTATAACTTAGTGATAAATTAATGATAATTTAGAAGTAATCAGTGATAAGATAGTAATATGTAATTGATAACTTATTTGTTAATTAGTGATAGTATTTTTCTATACTTGAAGTTACCTGTGATTGAATCTTGGTTACTAGAAAGAGCAAAGCTAGAACTTTCATCATTAGGAACTAGAATAAATCTACCATGTACTTATTCATTAAAAAAATTTAGTAAAAAAAATTCTAAATTTGAATGAAACAATGATGTTATTATATAAAAAAAATTATCTCATATATTGTAATTTATTGATAAATTAATAGTAAATCATAAATAACTTAGTAGTAATTCAATTGATAACTTGTAGTAAATAATTAATAACTTAACAACTAATTATTAAAAAGTTAGTAATTGATCAATGGTAATTAGTAAATGCATAATAATAAAGTAATAAATCTTTGAATTTAGTAGTAAATCACTAATGACATACTAATAAATCATTTATAATTTAGTTGTATATCAATGATAATTTAGTAATAAATTAGTTAATTTTTGATAATTTTATAGTAAATCATTTATAACTTCATAGAAAATTAGTTATAACTTTATAATAAATTATTAATAACTTAGTAATAAATCATTCATAACTTAATAGTAATCATTAGTAATTTAATAATAAATCATTAATAACATAATAATAAATTAGTTATAATAATATATCAGTGTTAATTTAGTTATAATTTATTGATAACTTAATGATAAATAAGTTATAATTAATTTTTAAATCAATGATAACAATAAATTAATGATAATTTATAATAAATCAATTTTAGCTTAGTAGTAAAGTATGAATAACTTAATAATAAACTATTCATATTTTAATAGTAAATTAGTAATATAATTTAGTAGTAAATTGTTGATAATATATAGTAGTAAATCATTGCTAACTTATTATTATTGTTATTATTTTTTGGTTGAATATTAATATGGAGCTATATTTTTTTAATATGTGTAACATATTTGATTCATTTAAAAATTTATATTTATTGCCATTTAATACTAAGGTATTGAATTACAAATATTTGTGGATATTGTACACATATATAAATGATTAAAACAATATTCATATACCAATTACTATAACAACATAATTTTATTGAAAAAAATAAATTTTTAAAGTGAAAATTTGGAATGACTTTATCTAAATTTGTATGTCATTGATTGTCTACTTGATAATAAATTAATAGTAACTAGAGTAATGCTATATCTTTACTAAAAATAAAATTGTTGTGTTATGTGGTCTCCTTTATAAAACTAATAGCAACTATATAAAAAATTATTATCTTTAAAGATATTTTTAAAATGAAAGAAAGAAATAATGAGTCTAAACTTATTAGAAAACACCATAGAAAAATTACGTATAAGTTATTTTTTCAAGTACATAATATTTTAAATTAAAATACCTGATTTAATAATATTAATAATAGTATGAATTCTATAAATTATAATTTTATAATAATATCGGTTAAATGAGGAATTTTTTGTATGACTTATACTAAATATATGATTAAGTATTCATCAAATAAAGAAATTACTCTATTTTAAATAGAAAAGAGTTCAAATATTAAAAATATATTCATTATCAATTTTAAAGTCAAGATTTAAAACATAGTTTACCTTCTAAATATAATAATATGTTTTGATATTTATCTACAATAGGTCATATCTTATTAATTTTAGAATTCTTATATTTTGTTATTTAATAAACAATAACAATATTAAACCAAATTCATTGAGAAGAGTATTTCAATATTTAAAGAATAACATAAAAATACCATTTGATTATGATAAGATATATCTTTAAGTAAAATGTGTTATTTAAACTTTTATTATAACATATTTTAGTAAGTTATACATATTTGTGGCTTTTTAAGAAACCAATATTCAATATTAAAAGTAGTTTTAGTCAATATCCCTTGTAAATACATAAATAAACATTATTGATGATTACATCGAGATATTAATAATTCTGAATTGCTTCAAATCCTTTTTTTTAGAATATGTTTATGTAATATTTTTTAATTAGTAAAATTCATGTAAGTATGCAATTTTTTACTATAAAATTAAACTACAAAATAATTTATATGATATAATTAAGTACATATCAAAATCAGAGGTAAGTGATCATGAAAAAGAAAATATCATATATTTACTTTATTTCAAGCAACAAAAACTTTATAACAAAAATACTTCAAATCAAAATAAAGAATTTAAATTTTAATTAGTAAATAGATGAAAAACAAGAGTTTAAATGAATTCAACAATAATTGATTGCCTCAAAAATTTATAAAATTGAAAATAAAAATTCATTACAAAAAAAGTTAAAAAAAAGAGCTTGAGAAAAAGCATAAAATAGAGAATAAAGGAAAGTACAAAATCGGATTTGATTGTGATAGAAGATAATTTTTTAAAAAATTAAAAAAAAAAGAAAAATATATAAAAAAAATGAATGAAGATAATAATCTAAAAACAAAAGACTTAAAAAAAGTCAAAATAGAGAAAGATTAAATATTTATTTTTTTTTGAAATTTTAATTTAAAATTTTTGTTATATTTATTTTTTTCAAACTTAAATTTATATTTTCAATTTAATTTAGTATGATGATAGTTATTTTAATTTAATTACTATAAAAGTAATAAAATTATTTTATTATATTAAAATTATAATTTGGTTAATAATTACGTGCATAACACGTGAAAGAAAATTAGTATATATAAAGCTAACAAGTTAACCGGGAAACGTTTAAATACATCTTGGTAGGAGAGTGCTATGTTCCAGGGATTATAAAGAGACTAAGATGCAAAGCGGATGTGGTCATCAGACAGGCCACTCCATAGAACTTGGTCACAGGCGGTAAAGATTGATAATATCTGATCAAATTTGAAACTTAAAACAATTAGAGCAAAATTACAAAACTGATCAAATATTCAGGAATCGTTAAAGTAAATTGTATCATGATAAAAACATGTAATCCAGACAAAGGGAGGAAGGTTACTGTGCTGGTGTAGACATTGCAAGAACTTAGAGCCTTTGGTTGTGCAAGAGTGAAAGATCATATGTTTAACGGATAGAATCGTGAATGGACTTGAGTTTCTTGTCTTGAAAGGTGGCAGTGGAAATAGTAAAGACGTCAGCTTTGAGTTTGAGGCAATGATAAGTCAAGGGAAAACCATATTATTCCAAGTCTGCCCTTTCAATGGTGTCGGTTCATTGGACCATCCATTGCCATTGCGATTAAATGTGATGTGACCTGTTATTAGAATCACTTTGGTCGGTTAAGCGTTCGAAAATTTCTTCGTCTCCCAAGTTGACTTGACAACGACACTCATTGTAAACCAAAATGGAAGTCTTGGCTAATTGAAGAGGGTGCCTCCCACTCCCACCTCCAAAGTTTCATTTTAGACAAGTGCTCAGAATAAACAGCACTATGTGAAAATACAACAAAAAGAAAATTTGATCTCAAGATTTTACTTCATGCTTGTAATCACTTTTAAAAAATGATATCCAACAATTTTAGAACTCACTGAAACCCTTATTTTATTTTTTTATTTCATACCGTGACCTTTGTTATAAAAAAGAAAAAAACCTCCATAAAATGCATCTATAGATTATAGTGTTGTCCATATTAATTTAATCAAATTAGTTAAATTCATATTTTCAATGTTACAATTGCACTGATTACCGTTCAATGGATAATTTCCTAATCTTCCTATTAGTATTTACATACAACTGATACAAGCACATGATTAAACCATATGAAAATTTTATTTGAATCCAAGCAATAAACAACATACGGTAAAGTATATGGTATTGATGAAGAAACTTGTCTTGCAATATCAAGAAAATTAGGGTGAAAATTATAAAGATGATCAAACGACTTGGACTAAAATTGATCTTGAAGTTTAGGCTAAACCGCTGAAGGCGTGACATGGACACAGCCATGATTCTTTGTGGTCTTCAATGGTGGTGATGAAAATCAGTAAGAAATAACTTTGAGGTCATCCATGCTAAAGCAACAAAATTCATACATAAAGTAAAATGCTGTATCAGTGTCACACCTCCATCGTAATTTCTTGTACTATGTGGTTTCATCTAACTGTGATGACCTTTTTAAGGCCACCTTATATGCCTTGTTGATGTGTATCATCAATTACTAGATTGCATTTTTGTTGATACAAAACTGTGTTGGTATAAAGTTAATTACTTGACTGCTTTGATGAGACCTTCACTCCTATGTCTCCGACTAAACTTCAGGACCAGATGCAAATAGGCAAACCAGGCCTCGAAACACTTGTGCTGAAAGTTTGTGTGCTTGAAAAAGCTCACCATCCAGATTCCAGACGCTCTCATTGCCGAAGGAAGTGAATGTAAAGGCTGGGGTCTGGAAATAACATAAACAATGGCTACAAAAGAGATTGTGGGAACACTAGAAAGACAAGACAAGACATGGCAAGAAACTATACCTTATAATGTTCCACAAAGTTGAAATCTAGGGGGTTTCCGCCTTTCCTTGCTAGCTGCGTAAGGTGCCTGTAGGTATTGATCATGAGTCATCACTGAAAACAGTTTTCTTAAGGATGAAGAACTATGCAGAAACACAAGAAAATTGGCAAATGCACTGATATGAAGGGAAATAAAAAGTTAAAAATGAGATCCCTGGATTCCAAAAATTTTAATATGATAAGGGAGAGAGAGAAAAAAGGTGAATGCTTCATATTACCAAAGGTATAATGCGTGAGGGCAGTCTTTAATTAATAGAAGATGCAGGAAACCATCTGAAAGGTGTGCATCAGCCACCAAACCATCAGGTGCCCTTTCATTTCGGTTAGACATTACGGCTGCCCCAACACTAAGGAAACGCCCTTTAGATTTCAACCATCTTTTTTCTTGTGAAATCATGTCAGGTGTTGCAGAGGGGCATCTTGTGGAAGAATAAACTGGCTGTGTATTACACACATTGCAATTGGCTCGGCAAATAATTCTTTCACATTTTTTTCTTTTCAAGCTTCGCACCTTACCAAACATCCTACTTCCATCTGGAATTGAACTCTTTTTTTCAGATTCAACTTCCAGGTATGCTACTTCTGCTTCATATGACCTTAATGAAGAAAAAAGGTTACCATAACATAGCATGGTGGGCTAACTATCATATATTAACAAGCAGCATTTGCAAGAATTGATGTTGCTAAGACATGCCCTTGGGAAGGGAAATCACAAGCTTAAAATTACTGACAAACATTAACAAGCTGAAAGAAAAATACTACCTCCGAAAAGAAAAACTTGTTCAATGTAGGCAGTTTAATAGGTATTTATATTGAAGACTTGAAGTCAAATAATAGTATCTGAATCCAGCTAACAGTTTCTTACTTAGAAGGGGATAAAAAGCTCTTTTTTGTCCTAAAGCAAAGAAAGGAGCTGAAGGAAAAATTCTTCCCAAATGCATTATGATACGAACAAAGAGAAACCCGCTTCAAAGGCTTCCTATAACTGAAGGGGAACTTATCATTCCAAATTTCAGACTTAACTGAGGTTCTTCTATAATTCTAAACTACAAGAAATGCTTGAAGCTGACCATAAATTCCTTATTGAATGCTACCAAATTCTAACTTCATTGGTCTACAGACTCATTAAGTAAATATGGAGACAAATACCTGTGTCTCAAAAACACTTTTGTTCCTGCATAGTCATAACGTTTGGGGCCCATCCACCGGTATTTTTCACTCTCTGTAATGACATCTCCATAAAATCCATACCTGATAAATTTCACTAATGAGTTGCGAAGAGACCATGAGGTTAATTCAGTAATTCTATATAGCACAACAAAAGAACATGAGCACACTAGGAAGCATCTCAATTAAGTTGACCATGCTTAAATATCATGACCATACTTGAAAGGTTATTAATTAGCAAACACATGCATTCAGTGACATGTCTACATGTGTACAGACATATCTATAATTGTAAATTGAACAAAAAATAGTTAAATGGCACCAATTTCTGGACCCAGAATATTTATTCACTAATACTCTTATGGATACATGACATTAGTTTTAACAAGAAACTACCCAGCAAAAGAAGCCGCATAGCGTACACAAGGTTCAACCTTTGAGGTAGATGTAGTTTTCCATCTTACAACTTGAACAACATCAAGGCACACCCTCTTACCCAGGGCAATGTGTAATGCAGATGTTATAGGATCTCGAGCCCCAGTGGTGCTGCAAGAAAGAAATCAACAAAACTGTAGAATTAAACAAAGGATGATATCCAGGATTAGCTCCATTGTTTTTCAGTCAGATATTATGTTGCAAGCACATCAACAGTAGAAGTCACCAACCATTTCCTTAAAGAGATATGAAATGTAATGAAAATATTATTACTAGCTATAATTATACCAAAGCAAGGTATACTAATCCTAACATTTAGTATTTAGCATATGTAGCAGCTCCTAAGACTTATATCCTTAGCATAAGTGGCAGGTTTTAAGACTTAGACCCATGGATGTATTTGTCCGCCCAAGACATAAACCACTGCATTGGACAATGGGCCCTATATTTGTGTACAATGCACTTAGATGAGTTAACATGCAAGGCATAGGATACAAAAAGCAGAAAGAAACCAGGAGAGCAAAGAACTTTTTCAAATGCTACAGATTCTGTATTCCATCTACATCATGTTAAACATCAAATCCAAAATATAAAATGAAAAGGGAAAAGAGACTTGTAGAAGGCATTCAGTTAAATATGAGTATCTGACAGAAAGAGGCCTTTTGATAGAAATCAATATAGACTGGACTCATCCAGTCAATAGTCATTATCTTCAGTGACTGTTCTTCCCTCCCAGTTCATCACCATTTGCCTCTGTGACCAGCCACTTAATGCAAAAATGTCAAAGCTTTGGGCAGTATCCGTATCACAAGGAGATTTTAAAGTTAGGCACTGACATTTGGACTGTATTTTGAGTAACAAACATTAAAACAAGCCACCTAAAAAGCCTGCTACATGCATCCAAATGCTCAGTTACAGTCGTGACCTTAATATTTTGAGTCTAAAAATAAGAGAGAACATAAAGAAGGAAAAATCAATAGGATGGAAGAATATACCATATCACAATGGCATCTGTTGAACCAGCAGGAATTATTCCAAATCTAAACCTCTGATTAGGAAGCAGATACTCAATTTCCTGATCTGCATATTTATAAAAATTTGTTCAGGTTTAAAGCATTAACATATATAGATAATCAATAAACACCACCACTAACTGAGGTACAAACAACAGAGTTCCATTATCACTGTACTTTGTAAAGATATGGTAAAAACTAACCTATGGAGTGAGATCCATCATCAGTTCCTGTAAATAGTTGCAAACATGGTTATACAGATAAAAAAGAACCACCACAAAGTTGACACTTATGGAAATAAAGTTTATATGATACACACCCAAAGGAGATAATCCCAATTCATTATGTGCCGAACTTGGGAGAAGAGGATCACTCTCTTTGTTGTAATGAGTCTCAGAACATGCTACATTTGAAGCGTAATCTAAGGAGTTGACATCATTCCTCAGAGTGTCAAGAAAATCTGATGGGGCAGGCGGGAAAGGAGCTTTATGCCTTGAAGAAAGAAAACCATTAAGAATTTCATTGAAGAAACCATCACCACCCTGCAATTAAAAGAAAAAAAAAGCAAAATTCATACATATTTATATATGGAAAATGCCATAACCTTGTCACCGTGTACAAACAGATTAAAGATTAAAAAACAGCAAACAGAACCAAGCCTGCCAAAAAATGAGGTATAAAATTCCAGAAACTAGGTCAATTGGTACGGTTACAACCTACAAAAACCTTGAACTATATGTAGTACCACTTCTCTGAAAACATGAACCTGAAATTGACAATATTTTATCATTTCCATCAACTTAGCAACTTATATATTATGAGGTACATTTAGCATAGGGGAGATATATATGAAATCATGACATGCAGGCATCCAATCACTTACAACAGCTATAACACCATCATATGAATTCAGCTCTTCGTTTGTAGTAGATTTCATCACATCAAATGCATGCCCTGCCCTCTGTGTTACAATCACCTGAAATGGAAACAGTGGTTATTGTAAGATAGCTAGGCATGCTTGACTTACTAAAAGGTATTGTGGGACCTTTATAATTTGGATTAATGTGTTTGATTTCCATGATAAGAAAAATGAAAATTAAGGAAGAAAATATGACATTTCAACAAACTACCACAATGCTTATAAAGCAAGAAACATCTTCTGCACTCAGTATGTAAGCTTACCTTCGTGTTTATTTTAGCACGTGCAAATATAGGAGCCACATGTTCCCAAGTCCTCCGGCCATTTGCTTTCCCACTCATTGGATGAACAAATACCTAGTTAAGGAAAAACAAAACAAAATGTCAAGCTTCTAGATTCTCTTCAATTTGTCACTAGATATATATCTTGAAACACAAAACTCTTGACAACCTATAGAAGACATATACCAGAAGATTCCTTGGTCTCCCAACTTCCTTATTTAGAGAATCATTAATTTTATTCACCCACATCTGACAAGTCTGCAAGTCCTTGTGACCAAAACTGTACATGGCCACGATCCAAAGGCAAGCCTGAGACTTAGACTTCTGAAAAGAATGTATTATAAAGTGGTTCATCTGCATCAGCAAGGAAGATGGATCACTGAAAAATTATCATTGTATGAAATGGGAACAAAGAAGAACAGAAACAAAAACAAACCTCAGAATCATGAGATTCATTCCCCAAGAAACATTCTCCAACACTAGTAAGATTTGATTCTTGAATCATACCACTGTCGGCTACCTCTACAGCATAGATATCAGAGAATTTTACCTCTGTTGGGATATCAGGAACAAGTTTAATCCCCAAACAAGTTGATCCACCCTGTTCCAGTAAACGTGAAGAAGCCATCAGAAGCCAAACATAACACCATACTCTTTCTGTAAAACCCAGCTCAAAGAAGCAGAAAATATTGGAGGGAGCATCATACATTTAATCAAAACCAACCCATCTTAACCCATAATTCAATGTATTTTCTCAACAAATCAAAGGGTATCCCAGCTCATACACATCAAGAAGGGAAATGGCAAAGAGACAAAACCCTATTTCATATCATGCAAAATAAATACAAAATTAATAAACTTTAAAAAGACAAAAAAAAAAAAGATCAGCGAAAACAAAACTGCATAACACAACAATCAGAAATAAACGTTAAAGAGATATAATAATATGGAAATATCAAAATTTACAATAATCCGTGTACATGAAAATATACAAGATCAAAAAATCTTACATTATCGCCGGAATCAAGCGATTTCCAAGACAACCCATCTGAATTAAGAGTGAGAGTAACCTCTCCAACGTGATTTAAGGATACTTTCGAACTCAAAACGGATGTTTCAGCTTGGGATTTATCCCCAGAATTACAATCACCTCCATTTATTTCCATTTTATTAGATTAACAAGTACTAGTACATAAAATTTATATAAAAATGGGATCTTTGAGATAAAAGTCACCCGATTTTTTTTAGTTGTGTTGGAATTAAAGGCCCTAAACCGGGTTTCCAGTTAACAAGATACCCAGTTCAGAGACAAGAAGCAAAGTTTTTTTTTTTTTTTTTTGTTTAAGTTTTGATGAAACGCAAAGTTTGGCAATTCAACATTTCTAAAGGTCCGAATTAAGAGACCGGGTCAGGAACATTCGGGTTAGGTCCACACCAAACCCGAACATCAACTTTGACTCTTAGAGGCCTTGCAGCCGTCGAAAAATGGCGCTTTTGTTTTTTCATGTATTGTCTTTTTTTTGCTACTTTTCCAAACATTAGGTTGTAACAAGAAAGTTTAGAACAGCAACATTTCCAAAAATCAATCGGATTTTTCTTTAAAAAAAGAGTACTAAAAGTAATTGTTGAAACATCAGAAATTCTCTTACGACGAATATTCGTTGGTAATATAAAACACTACATGTCCTTGGATGAATCGTTGAAACATTTATGGTGATAAATGCTAATTTTCTTAGTGCAGAGGCAGAAGCAACTTCGGGGCAGCACAGTGAAAACCTTAACATTGTCCATATCTGGGTTTCTGACCGAGTATTGAAATGCCCATCCATGACAACCACCGACACGTATCACGGTTTTGAAGTGAAGTTAGAAATTTCATATCGGTTTAATATTAGAATTGATCTTAATATATAAGAGTTTACATTATTTTTTTAAAATATTTTTTGTAAGATAAAATTATAAGATAAAAAAATCAAAATGAATAATATATTATAAGGATTATGAACTGTGATTAATAGATTGATCTGAAATACTAGATGAATGGATATTTAGATCCTAAAATCACACGAGCCTGAAACTTAAATCTCAACATGTAATAAGTGGTATCAGAGTTAGCTTTGAAGGTATTAACGATATATCACCGAAGACAGTAGGCTTTCATTGGAGTTGGAAGGATGTCACGATCTTGAAATGAAGCAAAGAATCTTATATCGGTTGAGTACGAGAATTGATTTTGAGATATAAAAGTTTACATCACTTTTTTTTTGTGAGATATTTTTTATATGATAAAATCATGAAATAAAAAAATTAAAACAAATAATATTTTATAAGAGTATGAACCCTAATAAATAGATTAATTTAAGACGTGGATGAATAAATATTAGGATCCTATAATCGTACGAGCTAGAGCTTTAAGTTTCGTCACTTGAGACATGCACAGCATTCTTATCGGTAGCAATGACAGCTCCCATTAAATCCGGAAATTTTCTTGCAATTCGTGATATTGCATCATCGGCAGCAAGCTTGGGTTCCATTCCCTGTCTCGTGCTCTCCACAACTTTATTAATGAAAACACATAAAAGCCTTATGTCTTATGTGTGAATCAGATGAGGTTTGCACGTAGCACATCAGAGTAGTTGAGATCAGTTGCAAAAGGTGAATTGAGAAACGAAACAACGGAGCAAACAGGATGGATCGAGATGGTTTTTGAGGGTAAAAGATTTGCCATCATGAATAACATGCTAACTAAGCACAACACCAAAAACAATGCTTACATACCATGGAAGGAAGCGCATAATGATGACACAATCTACAGTTGCACCACAAGCTACAACTTCATCATCAGCATGTGCAGAAGATCCAGCAATAGGTCCATCACCCCCTCTCCCTCCCCTCCAATAAAAAATGGAAAATACTTATGAAAACTAAAGCAAAACGTCATTTGGAAAATTTAAGAAAAGAAAAAAATATTGTCCATGTTGCTTTACAGGCAAATTTAAAAATTCTTAACCCCTTCATGTCCTCCTGTCATCTGCTAACCTCTATAATATGTATGATTCCATAGAAATAACAGAAAAAAAAAATATATATATATATATATATATCATTGATTGAAAAAGGGGTAACAAAAGGTCCAAAACCCACATCATAAAAATCAAGAAAACAAGAAGTTTTTTCAATACTTACCAAGACAAGTGAGATGGCACGTTCCTGGAGACATTTGAGACTGAAGATTTGAGGAACCTGTTTCTAGATCATGAAATTTGATCTCATGTTCCCAATAACACGAGTGGACTTGTAGATGTTCCTTGGCCACGTACGGGTGACAGAACAATAAAAGATCTCGTGAGTGATTTCAGTGGTGCCCATTTGGGGTTTTATGTTATTTTGAGGATAAAAGCAGGGGTTTTTTGTGATTTTCATTACGTGATTTGAAATGTAGGGAAAAGAGGCGGGGTTTAGTGGATAATGGAGACTACCACTAACCGTCTTAACCGTCACTTGAAAAAAGAGTGGGAGGATGGATCCTCTCAACTTCCAGTTCTGTAAATCCACAAGGGTGTATTCTGACATGTCATTCTTTGAGAGGTTGAAAGGAATGTTGTTGCTGACTTGGGAAAGCTACATTGGTGGCTGCATTTTTCATCCATGAATCTCCTCGAGCAAAATCAAAGAACAAATAAATTAGAAAAAAGAAAAAAAAACATTGAACATTGAACATTCTCCGGGTTTCATTTGCCAAAAAAGCAGATAATTTAAGTGGATTAGTGACTTGGGTTTTGAATTTGTGATTTAAGTAACAAATAAAGAGAAAAATCTTGAAATGGAAAGACAAAGTGATGGAACATACGTAAAGAAAGGACCATGGACTGCTGAGGAGGATGAAGTCTTAATGAACTACGTGAAAAAATATGGTCCAAGAGGCTGGAGCTCCATTCGATCCATGGGACTTTTACCAAGAACCGGAAAATCTTGTCGTCTTAGATGGGTTAACAAGCTTAGACCCAACTTGAAGACGTAAGTTTCTCATCACTCATCTTCTTACTTCTTAGGGTTCATCTTACTTTGTTACATTTGTGACAAAAAGGTATATTGATATGTTCTTAATAAGTAAAATGTGTTCCTTTTTATTTTTTTATTTTTAAATTTCTTTGTTGGGGTTTCTTTGTTTTGAAGAAAACTGTTGCTCATGTAATTGTAGCAGCTGGTAGGTAAGAAAATGATTGCTTTATCTCTCAATGTTGCAAAATTTGTGCTTTTCTGGATGGTGGGTTGTCAGGATTAGGACAAAAATGGTTTTTTCTTTGCTGCATGGTCTGTTTATTACGTGATTAGGTTAAATCTAAAGCAGCATATTAATCATTTTTTTTTTCTGGGAAAAACATTATGCAAATGCCTAGTGGATGCAAATTTTCAGCAGAGGAAGAGAGGGTGGTGATAGAATTGCAAGCGGAGTTTGGTAACAGGTGGGCCAAGATTGCTAGTTATTTGCCAGGAAGAACAGATAATGATGTGAAGAATTTCTGGAGTGCTAGACGAAAGCGGCTGGAGAGAATTTTGCAGACACCTATATCGAAGTCACAGAAAAACAAAGGGAAGGATCCTGTTCTCTATGGAATGCCAATGGTGGAGGTAAGGAATTCAGCAGAAAATCAATGCAGGCTAACAAGAATGTTTTCATTTTCTTCTATGATACATGAAATTTGCATTTCCCACAGCATGTCAGGTGATGTGTTGGATACTTTGTAATATGTTTTCAGGTTCCTCTTGGCAACTGCATCCCACTGGAGCAAGGATCATCATCTCATGAGAATCAGTCTAAACGTCCTTCCTTTTCAGGAAACTCCAAAGAATTCAGGATGATGCAACTACCTGATCTAATTAAGCCAGATTTACTAAACTTGGAAACATGTCTTCCCATACTAGACATCGAGCCCGTTCATATGATACAATCCATGGAGCCCCCCTTGAACTACCCTGCTTCTATACTACCGCAACTACAACTGGACCTCCCAATCTTGCCAGAATGCCAGGACCTTACCCCGGAGCCCATCGATTTTAATTTTGTGAGCATGTTCCAGAATCAGGAGGCTTCTGAATCTAAAACTAAACCAAAATCATTGACCAGGTTTCCCTCAGATGGAATAAAGGGCAGTGCTCAAATTGGAAAGAAGGAAGACAGAGTAAACCCTGCAACTCCTGAAAGCTTCTTTGATGAATTTCCAACCGACATGTTTGACTACCTTGAACCGCTTCCAAGCTCATCAGAATGGTAACCGTATGCAGTTGGAACAGCTGTGGTTGCGTTTATAGTTCTAACTCGTGAGACTCTCCTACTCTACAACCAATTCATTGGTAAACTGCCATGTGCCAACTATACTAGCTAGTTCGGCAACTCTGGGGGTGAAACAATGACAGTTGATATCTTTTAATTAATGTTATAACTGATATTGAATCTATGTCAATTGATATTGATAAATGAAAATTAATCTGACAAGCTCTCAGAGGACTTTAGAGATTGAGATCTTTGTTCTGGTCTCTAAAGCTTCATACAGCCTTAAAACCACCATCCTCTATAGAGGACCATTAGAGTCCAATCCGGTGGATCAAATCCAGAGTGCATTTGCCTACTATATTCACTTACTGAATGTCCAATGGACATTCCCCCTAGTAATAAAGCTGTAGATAACAAACCAGAACTTCCATTCAAAGCAGTTGCTCTAGGGTTAGTCATTTCCACAAAATAGACAATATTTCTCCAAATACTAGTGTACTAGAAAGAAACTCCCTAATGTCTAAAATGTACAGTCACACATGCAAGTGTGTTCCCAGGTTTGGCAGCCAACAAAATATCCACTACTGCATAACAATCATCTGGACCAAAATTTTGAAATTTCATCCCAAGAGATAATTGATTTCGCTGGGCACGCGGCATAAGGATAGAGGTTCAACTCGATCATCTCCAGACTGTCTCATTAGCATCTGTAAATATGGGATTGTGTTGTTCTATGAGGCATTGAATAACCTCAATGGCACCAAAATCAACTAGCATCCCATCATCCAAAGGAATGGGGGAGGAAGCATCCATATCTTCTCCATCATCTATAGCCATAAAATAGATGAAGGAAAATTAGAAACTCCTAGTTGTTTGAAAACATATTTAGTAACCATTTCTTCAGAAGAAGCATAAGCTGATGCAGCAGTATCCAATTAAATAGAAGGGCAAAGCAACAGAGAGAACTGTTAGTAACAGAAAACACAAAAATATATTGGGAAAATTTTGGAATTCAGAGTAGGTTTTGAGACCCAAGAAATGGAATGAAGAGAAAGCAAGAAAGAAAGGGGGGAAAAGAAGGAAGGAAGTTCATGCTCTTTTTTAAATATCTAAAACAATATCGTAACATCTTTCACCTAGTTTTCCACTATCTCCAGTCCTGTGATTAAGAAATAGTTTCCATCAGCACAGACTATATTCTATCAAGTAAATTACCATCCCTGAATGACATGGAGTCAAGAGTCATATTGGCATGAAATTATAATTTCACATGCACAATGTAGTGATATATGGGCAGATTGTAGCAGAAAGGAAAAGTTACCAGCAAGCATGTCCCATGCACTATAAGCAGGGGTCGAATCCATGCTACCCTTGGAAGGACTTTTGGTTGGATGACTCCAGTATTTCCTATAAGATTCTGGTTTCTGACCCTTCTGCCACATAATAACAGGTGCCATTTCCATGGCAAGGCTTCGGGCATCCATCTGTTGCAAGATAAACAACAATTAAACGTTGTTAATAGGTACTACTTATCTATTAGATAACAACTTTATGAACGACTGCAAGTCAATTGTTTGGAGTGACGGGGGTGAGAAGGAGAGGACCATTATGAAAGAACCAAGTAAGAGCTTTACATAGGCATTTTATTCACAATGACCAAAAATGAACAAGCTAAAAACGAACTCAAAGAAATAAATTATCCATGAAAACTTCAGTGGAGATCATTTTGACCATCAAGTTGGCTGTAGCCCATCAGTGGTGCATAGGAGTAACCAAACTATTGCTCAATACAAGGTAAACTATTAAAGTTCGCAAGATCTCAACAATAAATTTCACATATGTGGAGAATTATAAGCTTTCACAATTATATTCAACCTTACTTAAAACCACCTTATACAGGCAATGAATGCATGTATGCATTAGTGTATGGACATGGATGTAGAGAGAAAGAGATAACTCCTACCTTGTTAAGGACTGATTTCTGGCTAACACGAAGCAGCAATGCAGTGATGAACTCAAGAGTCATGTAGTTTACACTAGGAAGCTTCTTTAATACGTTTCTCATAGCATGAATGCTAGAACGGGCACCTTTGATCTCATTATAAAGCTCAAAGGTAGTGAGTGGCACAGGAAGACTAGCAATGTAATATTTGGTTAAAGCTGCTAGATCAATTGGATTCACACCCTCAGGTATTGAGACATTGAAATCTGTCATATACATATGACAACAAATTATGATGCAATCCAAATAGAATAACTGCAGGTCAAATTTCAGAAGATAACATGCGAGATACCTTGGTTGTATGCAGAAACCAATAGCTCAATGACCTTTTTATCTCCTTCAGCTTTAAACAAGTATTGAGAATTTAGACCTAAAAGTCAAAACAAATATGTTACTTTCTGGAAAAGAATGTATATTGCAGTAACATTTGCTAAATAAGTGCGAATATTTTTCATCTCATTTTCATCCGAGTCACCTGATAATACGAGAAAATCTGCACATTTCACCAATATAAGAGGAATGGGCTTGCTGGATTGTTGCCGTTGCACAGTAACCTCAATAGGAACTCCAAACACTGAGGACAAAGAAAAAATAAGGGGCTAGCACTGTGCATTGCTGGAAATATCCATAAAATACTTGACTTGAGTAATTAATTAAATCATCAGTATGTCATAGTCTATCAGTCAATAAGCAAGCATGGAAAGAAAAATACAAAAGCCTTTGCCTTGTAATTAGCTAAATCAATCAGAAACTATGATACCAAAACCAATTTAAAGTAAATTTTAATTTCAGAGCAAATGCTAATTAGTGAAGCATCAAACTCAGACATACAGAAGAACTGAAACCAAAGACAATCATAGAGCAATGGAATGCAATAAAAACAAACCTTTGGCACCAAAAATTTGTAAAAATGATAAAAAGTAATGCATTTTAAAACTTATAGTAGTTGAAATCAGAAGTATTTTGACAAGATGAGTAGGGATTAAGAGCTGCAAGAGTGCTAGGGCAATAAGAAACAAGAATTACAATTCAAAGCAGTTCCCTACACCTAAATATAAAAAATCAAAGATTTTATCACTTGATAGATGCCTTTAAACTGTGTCAGATGCTCCTGATGCTAGGCAATGATTTATAGGGAAATTCAAATTCAATAGTTGGCTCTTAATGTATAAATTTATTGGCAAACCAAACATGAAATTCACATATGTTCTTCAACGACAACCAGACAAATGCTGAAAGAATAATTATAACCAAAGTTTCGAAATTTCAGAAAGAGAGGAGGCAAATGAAAAGGATCCCCCAAAAAAGTCACCATTTGGAAAATGCACTGGCCAAGATAAAGAAACTCACCATCAGTGCTAGCAACACCCTGCAAATGGAAAACACATTATAAGAATTGAGAACCTTGAAAGTACATGTAAGAAGACAAAAAAATATAATAGCAAACAACAAAAAGTAAAAGTAATCCGCACAATACTATACCTTCTGCCATCGTTCTATGTCAGTCAAAATTATCTTGCTTTTCTGTGCAGTCTTTTTTGCCACCTGTAACAAATTCACCATTACACATATATATGTCATTCTTGACCATACCTTTTGTAGAAGCCAAGACTAGCCTAGTCTGTGACAATTAAAAATGACAATCAAGCATCAATAGATTGCATTTCAACTACACGCCATCATCAAAAACCATAATACCATATAAAAGCACCAAAAACCAAAATTCACCAGTTACTTGAAGTTTTTGCAAAAACAGAATCAATCCCCTATTGCAAAACAAACAAGCAACCAATACCCTTTCAGTAGGGTACAGAAAAGATAGCACTCTAGCATGACATAAATTTTGATAATTACACAAAGTTTAACTATCAGAGTAAAGAAGAGAGCAAAGGGCGATCTACAAAGTGGAGAGTGAGGCAAGAAATGATCAATTAAAACAAATGATCAATTATTCTTGAAGACAGGCTCTCTCACGCAGTGTAGTTTAAGCTTTAAACATTGAACAAGACATTTAATAATAAGTAAGAAAATTAACAAAACTAAAAAGTTTTCAATTAAATTAATTTTAGAGCTAAAATTTACCTCTTCAACTTTTGTTTTCCCAACAACAACCTTATCTTTAGTCCCGGTGATGCCTTTCCTCAGAAAGGTTCCAGTCGTTGCAGCAGCCGTTATAAGACTCTCCTGTACAGCATGTCTAGTCGCCGGCTGCCGGAGAATCGCCCATCGGCTTTTGACCATGGAACCGACTCGTTCCGCCACGTCAGCAACGTTGCCTTTGGCATCCTTGGCAACTTCTCCGACAAACGTTCCGGCCGTTTGGCTAGCTTCCTTCAGCTTCACCCCTGAGATCAAATTTCAAAAAATAAATTAAACAAATAATTCGCCGATGCGGCAACAATAGAAAAAAAATAAAAAGAAAAAAAAGAAAATAATGAAGAAATAATCGATTAAAAGGAACCTGACGAAGAAATGAAACCGCTAGCCTTCTCTTGCCACTGCTGCGACGCGGCTGAAGGCATCGCTTCCGACTAACGTAAACCGGAAATTAATTAATAACGAAATATCAAAGGAACTGCAAAAAAAAAAAATAATAATAATAGAAAATTAATTGATAGTGATAAATAATCATTTTTTAAGAGAAAATAGACAATCTGATGCTCTGATTTAAAAAGAAGGAAAACTTCGTATGACTAATAGTAATACTGTTTGGATATCAAAGCCTTTTCGGTGATCATCGAAATCAATGAATCGGCGCATAACCCTAATTTTGACGGGAATAAAAAAAAGGAAAAATTTTACCTTTAGATGTAGCTTAAACGAAGCGACGATCAAAGACGAGCTTTTCTTATTGCAAGTTGAATCGCTGGAGGTGATGGCGAAAGTCGAAAGTGAAGTACTCTTTTATTTATTTATTTGAGAGCAAGAAAAGTCATTGTTGTAAAGGTCACTGGGGATTGGTCAGTGATTTTTAGTTGACTGTTTGAACAAATAAGAATATGCCACGTGGTAAGTTTCACGGCTAATGCGCGAACTTGCTTCTGGATGGTTCCAACGATTATAACGGCACTTCTCTGAAACTCAGTTGCATGATCGAATGTTGGCTTGAATATTAAATTGTTTGTTTATTAATTTTAATTTTTTATAAAAATATCTTTGTTGGAAATTTTATTCCTTGGACACAATGTTGATTTTTAAACTGATAATTTTTTATTTAAAATATGTTTATTCATAAAAATATATTTGTGAGACCTATAAATAATTTTATTAGTTTTTATATTAATATATCTTTATATATAATTTTTCGAAATCATTTCATTTGTTCAAACGTATCGAAAAAATTTATGAAAAACAAATTGGAATTTCTTCAATTCAAATATTATACTATGAAGATTATATTTTTAAGAATTTATTTGCACTGGAAAATCTTCTTTAATTAAGCTTTCTAAAAAGCATTATTTAAGTTTTTTTTTCTTCAAATTAGATTGAATTAATCAAACTCAAATACAATAATTTAATAATATTACACAACAATATTTATTTATAAAATTTTTATTTGTTAACTTGTATGATTTATATTATTATTAAAGTTTTTTTTATTGAGTTTAGTGTCACTTTATTCATATTAATATAATATTTTCTTTTGATTGATAAAAATATTTTCCTTTCCATTATACTGGAATAAGAAATAAAATTAAATTTAAATGAAACAATTTTTTGGTCAAAAATGAAACAATTTATTTTTGTTCGTAAAAGATTTTCGTTTCATGTTTTCAAATTTTTTTATTATATTTATCCTCTTAAAAAAATTAAGAGTTGTATTAAAGAATTTTTTTTTCGACTTTATGTATTTAATGATTTGGAAGTTTAATACTTGGCCGTCCATATGAAAGAGTAATAATAGAACTAATTAATAGCGACAAACATCGTGTTGATGGTTTCATATTTTGCTTCAGTTAATCAATGAGATTGACAAATACCTACCTTTCATTACAAAGTCTTCTGAATTAAATATAAAAATAAAATTAATTTTATACTTTAATGTTACATTACATATGAAAATATTTGTAAATAAGATCAAATCGAATTAAGTTCAATCAATATTTAAAAATTTATGTAAGATTCTATCCAATTAGATTGGTTTACATGACTTGAAATTTTTAAAAAATTAAATTTATTGAAATTATTAAATATTAATATTTTAAAATTAAATTAAAATAAAAATATTTTAATTAATTGTTTAATACTTTAAATTTAACTAAATTAAACTTTGAGTTAAGCTCTCCAGCTGTGGACAAATCTAAATAATTAACCAAAGTATTTTTGTGGGGTCTAAGGATGATAGTCAGATTATTATTATTATTATTATTATTATTATTATTATTATTATTGTTGAATGGTCTAAAATGGTGTGTAGAACTCCATTGCTGCTGTACATCTTTTAAAATTTTAAAGTCAATCAACATATAAATAAATAAATTGAAGCATGTAATATTATATGACTCTACCATTTTATATACATTTTTCAAAAAAAATTTTAATCTTCACAATCGAAATAAAATATTATTACATGTATTTTTTTTATTTATCATATTAATTTATTAATTATTTTAAATATATTTTAATAGGATATGTGACATCATGGTTCCATCCCCATACTCCAAAAATCTTCTCCAAAACCAGTGCTCCCTCCACACTTTATCCATTCGTTCAATAGGCTGATTCTTGGTCTCCGGCAACAGGAAGTGCACGAATGCAGTCATCACCGCCACCCATCCCCCGAAAAGAAAAAAATCCCTGACTTCATATGGCAAAGCATAGCTAGAAAAGTTTGTCCAACAAGGAAACATAACAGAAAGCCCATTGCAACTGTTATACTTTGCCCAGCTGATCGAATCTCTAATGGATAAATCTCACTAGGGATCAACCATCCCAAGGGACCCCATGACAGTGAAAACCCGGCTACATATATGCATATCAGGATCAAAACCAGGTAAGCACAGCCTTTGCTAAGGGCACCTTGATCACCTAGCAATGCTACCATAATTCCTCCCACCACTAATTGTGACGCCAACATTAGGGCTCCACCAATCATAAACAAAGCTCTTCTTCCAAATTTATCTACTACAAGCATGGATATCAATACAGAGGCCAATCCCACCAGGCCAATCACTACTGCTGAGAGTAGTGAAGCACTTTCACCAAGGCCAATAGTCCTAAAAAGTATTGGAGCGTAGAATGTGATGACATTGATTCCAGTCACTTGCTGGAAAAATGGTATAGCTATTGACATTACAAATTGAGGCCTGTACTTTCTCTGTATGATTTTCTTAAATGGGTTTTCGATGGTTTTCGAGATTGAGCTTGCTTTGATGAGATCTTCGAGTTCTGCTTGGACATCAGTGGTGCCTCGTATACGTTGCAGCACATGTTCTGCCTTTTGGTGATGATTAATGCTTTGCTGGTGCTGGATTAGGCAGTTGGGTGTTTCTGGGAGAAAAAGCGTGCTTAGTGTTACAATTGACACTGGGACTGCTGCCATGGCTAGGGAAATACGCCAGCCCCAACCGCCTTTGATCTTTTCGGTGCCAAAATTAGTAAGGTTAGCTACAAGTACTCCAATGCCAACACCAACCTCGAAACCAATATTCAATGCTCCTCTGTTCTTGGAAGCGCCATCTCAGAGATATATAAAGGTACTGCCTATGGAACAAACAAATTTAAGATTAAAGCAAGAACATTATGATTAGAAAAAAGCATAATTCAGTGGTAATTAATTGATAGTTCCACCTGGTTGGTGAATCCGATCCCAACTTCCGATCCCAACTCCAAGCAAGACACGGCCAAATATTAGCATGTAGATGTCAAAAGCTGCACCGCCAAGGGCTGAACCAGCTAGGAATGTAGCTCCCCCTACCAGGATTGATGGCTTGCGGCCAAAGGCTCTAGTCACCGGTGATGCAAAGAAAGAAGCAATGAGGCCAGTTATGTACAGGGAAGGTTAACAGTTGGCTATCAAATTTGCAGTAATTGCTAATTTTGGTGTCAACTAAGTATGACATCTCTATTGCAACTTTTGCAACATGTTCTGCCATCTTATCAGTTTAGGTAGCATGATGGATCTGTGTATAGTGATCCATATTGTTAGACAAATAACTTTTATAGTAGTTAAACAAACTTTTGTATTTTTGAAGCCTATAAATTAATGAAATGAAGCTCATGATCTGATAGAGCCAATTTACTGCAATTGACAAATTAGTTTCCTCATTTTTTCCTTTGTTCTTTCTTTGCTCTAAATCCTTCAGTTAGTATCAAAGCTTTTTTAAGGTCTTAGAGGACTTATGAGCTCTTGAAATTAAGTAAAAAGCCATCAAACACTTACCAGCCAGCTTTTGTCAACCTTAAATAGCCTCAAGCAGTTGTTCCTTACCTCTACTTCTTATTTTTTCTAGTGAGAACTACCAGATATGGGCTATCAAAATGAAGTTTTATTTGAGTGCTTTTGATTTGTGGGAAATGGTGAAAAATGAGAAGGAACCACCACAATTTCTAGCAAATCCAACAGTAACTTAAATGAAAAATTATAGTAAAGAAAAAGCAAAGAGATACAAGGCTAAAAGCTGTGTTGAGTCTTCAGTTTCTGATAACATATTCATCATAATCATGATTTGTGAAACTGCAAAACAAGCTTGGGATATGCTTAAAGAAGAATTTCAAGGTAGTGACAAGACAAGACAAATGCAAGTGTTGAATCTTAGAAGAGAGTTTGAAGTCTTAAAGATGAAGGAGTCTGAAAATTTAAAAGAGTACAATGACAGACTCATGAAGATAGTAAACAAGATTAGATTACTTGGTGAGGAGTTGTCAGACAAAAGAATTGTGGAGAAGGTTTTTGTCAGCTTACTAGAGAGGTTTGAGTAAAAAATTTCATCCTTTGAAAACTCCAAAGACCTGACCAAAATAACTCCAGCAGAGTTGTTCAATGCTTTGCAAGCTTAAGAGCAAATAAGGGCTATCAGATAAGAGGATTTAACAAAAGGTGCTTTTACAGTCAAGGAGAAAAGTAAGATGTAAACAGAAAGCAAAGGCAGAAAACAAGGAGATCGAAAAAAAAAAAAGGTTCTGGAAACAATGAAAAGAAAAAAAAATTTTCACCTTGCTCTCACTACAAAAAGATCACTCATTTGGAGAAATATTGTTGATACAGACCTGACATACAATGTAAGTACTATAAACAGCTTGGTCACATGAAGAAAGTATGCAAAAACAAAAAACAACAATAGTTAGCTCAACAAGCCAGAGTTGCTAAGAACTAACAATAGCTAGAAAAGCAGGTTTTTGTTGCAACCTGTTATACAACCAGAACCCCCTCAAGTGCATGGTTAATTGAGAGTGGTTGCACATACCATATGGCATCTAATATCAACATGTTCAAAGAACTAGACAAAACCTGTATCTCTAAAGTCAGAATAGGTAATGGTAATTTCAAGAAGTCAAAGGAAAATGAGTAATGGTTGTTGAGACAACAACAGATACCAAACTCATTTCAGATGTGTTATTTGTGCCTAAAATAGATTAAAACCTATTAAGTGTATGACAGTTACTAGAAAAGAACTACTCTTTAGTTTTCAAAAATAAGGCATGCATAATTCATGATCCCACTGGCCATGAACTCTTTATTATTAATATGAAAGGAAAATGTGTTTCCTTAAACTGGCATGAAGCAAACTCCTCTGCATATACTAGTTCACATGATGAATCTTCTTTATGGCATAAAAAGGATGGGACATTTTCAACTACAATGCATTGAATTTCATGCATAAAAATGATCTTGTATTAAACATGCCTACTATTGAAGTCAGTGTTGGAGTTTGTGAAGTCTGTCAGCTAGGAAAACAAAGTAAGTTGCCATTTGTAATTAACAAAGCATGAAGGGTAACTAAAAAACTAAAGCTTGTTCATACTGATGTTTATGGTCCTATAAGAACCTTGTCCTTGAATGGCAGTAGATTTTTCATTATTTTTATAGATGATTTTAGCAGAATGTGTTGGATTTACTTCATGAAACAAAAGTCTGAAATTATAGATGTATTTTGAAAGTTCAAGGCTTGGATTGATAATCAAAGTGGCTACAAAATCAAGATCATAAGATCATAGATCAAACAATGGTACTGAATACACATCTGACAAATTTAATGTGTTTTATAAAGTTACAGAAATTGAATACCAACTCACAGTAACTTACACTCCATAACAAAATGGAGTCAGTGAAAGGAAGAATAGAACAATCATGGAGATGGCAAGATGCATGCTGTTTGAAAAAAATATTCCTAAAAAGTTTTGGGCAAAGGTAGTCAATACCTCTATCTACTTGTTCAATAGGCTACCTACAAAAGCTTTGAAGGGAAAAACTCCATTCGAAGCCTGGTATGGAAGCAAACCATCAGTGCAGCATCTAAGAGTTTTTGGCAGCATTTGTTATGTGTTTGTTCTTGATATCAAAAGGGATAAACTTGATCAGAAAGCAAAAATTTGTATTTTTTGGGCTATAGCAACATCACCAAAGGCTATAGGACTTACAATCCACTTACAGGCAATGTGATTGTAAGTAGGAATGTGAGATTTAATGAGCAAGTTGCCTAAAATTAGAAAAAATCAAAAGGAGAATCAGTCAAGCAAACTGCTACAGACATGATAAGCTTTCAAGATCAAGAAGATTATATGTTTGAAAATGAAATCATTGATCATGAACCAGTGAGAGGAATCAGACCACTCACAGATATTTATCAGAGATCAAATGTTACCATTCTTGAACCTACAAGCTTTGAAAAAGCTGTCAAATTTTTAGAGTGGATGAATGCCATGAAGAAGGAGATTCATATGATTGAGAAAAATCAAACATGGATTCTAGTTGAAAGACTAAGCAACAAAAACATCATTGGTGTTAAATGGATTTTCAAAACGAAGTTGAATGCTGATGGTTTCATCAACAAACTTAAAGCTAGATTGGTAGCTAAAGGCTACTCCCAACAGCTTGGTGTTGATTTTTCAAAGACATTTGCTCCAGTTGCAAAGTTGGACACCATAAGGCTGCTATTAGCTTTAGCAACTCAACAAAGTTAGAAAATATACCAACTTGATGTCAAATCTGCCTTCCTGAATGGCTATCTTGAAGAAGAGATTTACATTGAACAACCTGATGGTTTTGTTACCAAAGGAGATGAGGGCAAAGTCTATCTACTCAAAAAGGCTTTTGTATGGATTAAAACAAGCTCCAAGAGCTTGGAATTCCAGAATTGATGATCATTTGCTAAACTTAGGATTCAAAAAAAGCCTTAGTGAAACAATATTGTACATTAAGGTTTTTAATAGTAATGATTTATTGACTGTTTCTTTGTATGTTGATGATTTTTTTGTGACAGGTAGCAAATCAGCTCTTGTGGAAGATTTTAAACTCCAAATGCAGAAAGTTTTTGAGATGACAGATATTGGAGAAATGTCTTATTTTTTTGGAATGGAGATTCATCAAGACCAGTAAAGAATCTTCATTTGTCAAAGAAAATATGCAAATGAAATCCTGAAAAAGTTTGGGATGAAAAATTGTAAACCAGTCAACACCCTTTTGGCTCAAAATGAGAAACTCATTAAAGAAGATGGAGCTAACAAAGTTGATGGTTCTATTTATAGAAACTTGGTTGGTTACTTATTGTATTTGATAGCAACAAGGCCAAACATCATGTATGCTGTAAATTTACTCTCTAGGTTCATGCAAAGTCCAAGTAAGTTGCATTTTAAGGCTGCTAAAAGAGTGTTGAGATATGTCAAAGGAACCAATGAACTTGGAATTTAGTTCAAGAAGAATGAAAGTTCAAGACTGGTTGAATTCACAGACAGTGACTGGGTTGACTCTCATGAAGACATGACAAGCACTTCAGGTTATATGTTTTTCATTGGATTAAATGTGTTTAGCTGAAATTCAAAGAAACAAGGAACTGTGGCTCAATCAACAACAGAAGCAGAGTATATAGCTGTAATAGCTGCTATTAATCAAGCAATTTGGCTAAGAAAAATTTTGATGGATTTAAGTCAAAAGCAAGATAATCCAATAGAAATTTTTTGTGATAATCAGTTAGCAATTGCAATGGTCAAGAACCCTATGTTTCATGGAAAAACTTAGCACATTAAGATCAAGTATCACTTTATTAGAGAAGTTGAAGCTAAGAATGAAGTAAAACTGGTGCATTGCAGGTCAAAAGATTAAATTGCAGATATTCTAACCAAGGCCTTACCAAAGGCAAGGTTTGAAATGTTAAGGAACAGTCTTGGTGTTTCCAATAGAAATGCCAAGGAGGAGTGTTAGTGGTTGAAGCAACTAGGTATGGCATCTCTACTACAACTTTTGCAACATGTCCTGCCATCTTATCAGTTTAGGTAGCATGATGAATCTATGTATGGTGATCCATATTGTTAGGCAAACAACTTTTGTAGTAGTTAAACAAACTTTTGTATTTTTGAAGCCTATAAATTAATGAAATGAAGCTCATGATTTGATAGAGCCAATTTACTGCAATTGACAGATTAGTTTCCCATTTTTTCCGTTGTTCTTTCTTTGCTCTAAATCCTTCATCTTTCATTTTTTTGTACACCTTTGGGAAGAATTCCTTGAGAAATGGCTCCATAGAGGTCACCCCACCTTCACAGTTACACAAAACAGATAATCTCAATTCTCTTTAGAAACAAACAACAATACAAGATTTTTGCAAAAGTAATATGCAACAGTCAAAGTCTGTCATACCATGATTATAAGAAAAAGTAACTGCAGTTATGTGCAAACAGCATAAAATTATTGCCAAAAAGTCTATACAGCTATGTTACTCGGATTCGGGAGTGACGTCGGATATGAATATGAATCATAATTTATTCTGCAGATTAGACGAGGGAAAAGTATATAAAAATGATCATATGAAACAAACCTGAAATTCCAAGATCATAACCAAATAGAACTCCTCCTGTGGCAGCCATCAAACATGAGAGAACTACAAGCAGGGTGATCCTGCCATTGTATTGCCGGCCTCCACTTGTGATTTGAAGCGGAGTCACCATGTCTTAGCCTGCTCCAAATCTAAATAGCATAAACAGGTGAGAGAGGAAGAGAAAGATGGATTAAAGTTAAAAGTTACAGATAATACTAGAAGATTAAAAAGGAAGCATTGTTTACTTGACTGGTACAGAACATCCATTTTCTTGTGGACTGTATGCAAGCATGTGAGGTTGAAACCTTTTAGAAGGAAGTGTATGTTTAATGTCATTGAGACTTCACTATCTGTTAATTACTACTAGTAGCTAGCAATTATGATATGAATATGTAAATAATGGTCCTTTTTTCTCTTTGCAAATGCTAGCTTAATTTGATGATACGAAAAGATAGTATTTCATTTATAATTATTCCATCACCGTAAAAAAATTATGTAAGAGTCCATTACATGTAAGTGTGAGCTTCATGTAATACAAGAAAGCAGTTGACAAGGGGTGCGACTGCAATTGCAGCATGACTGCATGACCACCTTATTTATTTTCTTTTTCTAAGGGAAAATTAGGGTTGAGAAGGGTAGAAGTAGAAGCCCGGTGAACCGGATGGGGGATCCAATGGGTGACCACACAGGCCAAGAGCTGAGTTATAACGAGGCTCCAAGATCATAGCCAAAAATAAGTCCTCATGTTGCAGCCATCACACATGACAGAACCTGTTATTGTCGACGCCATTGCTCAGACCTTCCAGCTGATCATTACTTATCTCGATTAAACGAGCGAGCAAAACTAGTTTAAAGTTATAGATAATACTAATAGATGATCTAGAAACATTGGAAGAGTATTTATTGTTGACTCATGATCAGTCATGACTGATGCGAAACTTCAATATCCATTTAGGCCTAGCAATTATGATATGATGGCGCTTTGCTTTGCATTAAGTGGGAGCTTTGATGCTTGAGAAAGGAACTTTGCAGAAAACATCGAAAAGCAGTGAACTGAATTTATGATATAAGAGCCTGTTTCTACTTTTTTTAGGCCAATGAGTTTGTTTCTACTTTAATGATCTGCTTCTTACGCTGAGCATTAGCTAATAGCTAGCAATGCTGCCTAACACATTAATTGGGTTACGAGAGAAAAAATAATCAAATATGCCAACAAAATTTCGAGGGAAAGGCAAGAAACCTCAGAACTTGGAATCTTGAATGAATCAGGAAATATTACAAGTAGTGAAATCATAAAAAAAAAGTCCAGAATTAATTAATTTTGTTAACATAAATTCGTTGAATTCCAAGTTAGTGATGACATTGAATGACAACATCATCCTAGTCATTTCCCACCAAGAGTCTATGGTCCACTATTCCAATTTCATCGCACCTTTTTAAAAAGAAAACAGCAATAATGAAATTCATTCAACTTCTTACTTTTTACAAAAGCTTTTCCTAGTTCCGTTTGGCCACTCATCGACCATAAATAAGTCATATATATATAAGAGGTGGAAAGTTTGATTAAATTCTAAAGTAGGAAGTTCATGTTATTTGTATTCATGTCTTTCAAGTTTTATTCAGTAAGCACTCTCTTACAAGAAAGCCAAATGGCTTCAAATCTAAGGTTACAACTTACAACCAATACCTTATGTATCAAAGCTGTGTGCATATTAATGGCTATCTTGACTAATCAAACAGAAACTAGTTCTATATCCCTTCTTGCAAAACAAGATTAAAACTTGTTTCAAATTATACCTTATCATGTGTCTACTTGTAAACCTTGTCATCCTCTTGATCTCCCAGAAATCTTTTCCAAAACCAATGCTCCTTCCACAATTTTTCCATTTTCTCAATTGGTACATTCTTTGTCTCTGGCAAGAAGAAGTAAACAAATGTAGTCATCACCGCCACCCATCCACCAAAAAAGAAGAAAATCCCTGCCTTCATGTGGCAAAGCATAGATAGAAAAGTTTGTCCAACAAGGAAACAGAAGAAAAAGCTGACTGATACTGTAATACTTTGCCCTGTGGACCGGATCTCTAATGGATAAATCTCACTAGGGACTAACCATCCCAAAGGACCCCAAGATAATCCAAACCCAGAAATGTATATACATATCAAAACTAAAACCAAGTAAGCACTTGCCTTGCTCAATGCTCCATGATCCCCTAACAAAGCTGTCATAAAACCTCCTATTGTTATTTGTGTTGCAAGCATTTGAATTCCCCCAATCATAAACAGTACTCTTCGGCCATGCTTATCCACTACAAACATAGATACAAATGTACATGCAACATTGAAACAACGAATCACAACTGCAGACAAGAGTGAAGAACTTTCATGTAGGCCAATTGTCCTGAATAGTATAGGAGCATAGAATGTGATGACATTAATCCCTGTCATTTGTGCAAAAAATGGTATAGCTGCTGCCATAACCAGTTGAGGCCTATGCTTTCTTTGCATAATTTTCTTAAATGGGGATTTGATTGTTTTTGAGATTGAGGTTGCTGTGACTAGATCATTAAATTCAGCTTGGACATCACTGGTGCCTCTTATCCGCTGAAGCACACGTTTGGCCTTTTCATGGTTATTGGTATAGTGAATCAAACTGTTTGGTGAGTCTGGGAGAATAATTGCACCTAGTGTCAGGATTGATGCTGGGACTGCTGCCAGGGATAGGGAGATACGCCAGCCCCAACCGCCCTCAATCTTTTCAGTGCAAAAGTTGATGATGTTAGCTATGAGTACTCCAATGCCAACTCCACCATCAAAGACGATATTCATAGCTCCTCTGTATGTGGGTGGTGCCATTTCAGAGATATATAGTGGGACTGACTGCAGAGCAAATAAATTGGAGCATAAAAACCTAGTAGATATATAGACCCATGTAAAACTTATTATTGAACATGTTTTAGCACTAATTCTGTCAAAATCTTCAATTAACAGAAATTGATCATTTGGCATGCTTGAAGTAGTGTTTCTGGAGCTTTATGGTCAGGCTAGTGTTACAATTAATTGGTCTTTCCCTCATTATTGGGCTAGATATACCAGGGAGGAAATCCTAAGGTCTTGGCAATCGATACAATTACCTTATTAGTTAAAACAATAACTAATAAAAACTATAAGTTTGTAAGTGATGACAAGATTTATTGTCTTCGGTAAAGCATTCTTCTTTCCTTCACCAAGTCAATGAAAGATTTTCTTAACTGCTATTACTTCATTTTTACTCCTTTCTACCCTCCTTATTGTAGGGTTTACTTTGAATTTAGCATGTAAATTTGCTACCAAACTTGAGATTCAAGTCCATTTCGCAGAAGATTTTGCAATAGAAAGAAGAAATAACGAAAGAAGGCAGAAATAGATTCAAGTAACCTGGTTTCCAAATCCAAGTCCAATGCCAAGAAAAATACGACCAAATACAAGCATGTACACATTGGAAGCAGCACCACCAAGGGCTGAACCAACAAGGACAGCAACCCCTGCTACAAGCATCGATGCCTTTCTTCCAAAGGCTCTGGTCACAAATGATGCAAAGAAAGAAGAAATAAGGCCAGCTATGTAGAGTGAAGATGTAAACAAGGTCAACAGTTGGCTATCAAATTTGCAGTAATTGCTAATCTTGGTATTTTCTTTCATCCTTCGATACACATCTGGGAAGAACTTCTTGAGAAAAGGGTCCATAGAGGTTACTCCCCCTTAAATCAAAGTTACATAAATATTGTTAATGGCAATTAAATACATGAGAGATAATCTGAAACTTAAGAATGAAGAACTAACTTATTCTTCAAATACCCATAGCCCTAAACTTGGATGGAAAATTAGAAAGAAGGATATACTGATGAGACAGACCTGAAACTCCAAGATCATAGCCAAAGATAAGTCCTCCGGAGGCAGCTACTACACATGAAAGAACAAGTAGCCCCGTAATCCTGCCATTGTATTGCCCTCCTTCACCTGTTATTCCCCTTGCAGCCGCCATAGCTAAGAGTAACCTCCAGCTGAGCACTAATCTCAATTAAACAAAAGAGAGAAATTGGTTCATACTTTATAGACAATACTAACAGTAGTGGGTTACTTTAAAAAAAGAGGAGCATATTTTGGTTGACTATAGTGGAAATCTTTTGCGACAGAATATCTAAATTTACGTGTGGACCAAAATGAAGCATGTGATCACGGAGTTTCACTGTTAAGTTACAAAGGGATTCTAGATTTTAATATCACAGCTAAATGCATAGATCAAAGTTGGTTTGTGTCAACTCCTGGGGACGAACTAAGAAATTGAAGCCTAATATTTGAATATTGCATCTTTTGCTTTTTCTTTGGTCATTTAAAGATTTTGCACTGACAACCTTTAAGAAACTGTGGACCTCTACGCTAGACTTTTGACAGTCTTCACATTGGTTTTAGTTAATAAGTTCAGGGTTTCTCAAGCACGTGTTTGCGTCTTTACATGCATAGGAGAAATTTCATATTAGTTTGATTTGATAGCTAAAAAGACTTGAAAATGAAGGCTAAATTTGGATCACAAGTTCATCACTTAAGTCATCTACAACAAACACTGCCTTCAAATATCTCCAGCTAAGTCAAATTGTACATTTGTCTAGCTAAATGGGTTAAGCATTGAAGGCAATAAAATAAAATCAAAAGCTGTCTAAAATTATAACTAATTGAAGCACAAGGGGTCTGTTTGCAACTTTTGTGAGTTTCTCTAGCAATTCAGTAACACCATTGTAGGCAGAGACTCTGAATTTCAGTTCATATATTTCACATTTTCGTGTGAAAACAGAAAAACAATTTTGATGTAAAACATAATATCAGGAATTTTAATATTTTAAACAATATGAATACACGAATAAGTAGATCTGAAATTGGATAAAAATTTTATAAAAAGAAAACAAGTTAACCAGTAATAAACTATGAAGCAAGGAGTCCTCTCCCATTTGTACAGGCGGGCTGCCCGTGTTGGATAGAAAGAGGAATAATAGAAGAAAAGGAAGGGCAGAGAACAAAACTGACCTGGGTGTCGTTGGGCTGTTGTCGTTTTTTAGACAGAGAGGAAAGATGTCGGATTTGAAAAGAGAAACGAGGATAAGTCGGTTGCTGTGGAGAAGAAGAAGGGGCACTTGGTGTAATAAATAGACTGTATTTTGGTTAGTGTTTTAACAGATTTTGAAGATTAATTTGGATGATTAAATTGTAATTTTGTAATTATTAAAATTTGACATTTATATAAAATATTTTTATTATTGCCGGATCTTATTTGTGTTGGGTGTCGGATCCGAATCGGTGCTTGTGCTCACAAATATTTGAATTCCCCAAGTCATAAACAAAACCTTTCGGCCAAAGCTTATCGATACAAACTTTGATATGAACGTAGCAGTGGAACCAACAAGGCCAGGACTCACGACTGCAGATACGAGTGAAGCGCTTTCACCTTGGCCAATTGTCCTGAATAGTTTTGGAGCATAGAATGTAATGACATTCAAGCCTGTTACCTGTTGAAAAAATGGTATAGCTATTGCCATTACCATTTGAGGCCAATATTTTCTTTGTATAATTTTCTGAAATGGGTAGTTGATTGTTTTTGAAATTGAGCTTGCTTTGATGAGATCGTCCACTTCTGCTTGGACATCATTGGTGCCTCATATTGCTAGTCTGGATTAAGCTGTTGGGTGTTTCAGGGAGAAGAAGTGCTCCTGTTGTCAGGATTGAGGCCCGGAGCGCTTCCAGTGCCGGGGATTTACGCCAATCACATCGATCTTCAATCTTTTCAGAGGCAAAATTTATAATATTAGCTGAAAGCACTCCATTGCCAACACCCGCATTGGAAGCCAATGTTCATTGCTCCTCTGTGTCTGGGAAGTGCATTTCAGAGATATATAATGGGACTGACCGTAAAGCAAATGCATTATAGCATAAAAGAGGGAGAGGAATAATCTAAAGAGAATTTATTTTGCATAACTGGTTTGCAAATCCAACACCGACACCAAGCAAGACACGATCTGATATCAACATGTACACGTTAAAAGCTGCACCACCAAGGGCTGAACCAGCATGGAATGCAGCTCCTCCTATAAGGATGGATGGCTTGCGTCCGAAGGCGCTGGTCACCGGTAATCCGAAGAAAGAAGATGTAAATAAAATCAAGAGTTGGCTGTCAAATTTGCAGTAATTGCTAATCTGTAAACTTTTTGAAAGAACTTGAGAAATGGCTCAATAGAGGTCACTCCACCTTTACAATTGCATACGTTCTTAATGAGATAATTTGAATTATCTCTAGCTGAAGTATCAATTTATTTTTCAAACTCTAATTTAACCAATTATGAAGTTGTTCCAAACATTCTATAATTCACGAAAAAAAGGTTAGTTTCTAGAAGAAGATAGACCTTAGCCTACTGAGGTGTTTCCGTACCAGTAGGCCGGTACACCGTACACCAGCTAGCTAGCGAAGATGATTTGTCAACGTTTTATTTTTAGGACAAAAGAGACCAAGTAAACGGCAAAAACATTATCCAAATCTTACTAGAAAAAGCTAAACTATTTTTGCATGCTTGAATCCAAAATTGACTAAAAATTTATAATTGGTAAGATTAATACTGTGGATGACTAGATGAGAAAAACATAACGTATATTATGATGAAACAGAAAATAGGTAGAAAACCTGAAATTCCAAGATCATTACTAAAGATAATTCCTTCCGTACGCAGCATCATACTTGACAGAACAACAAGCAAAGTCATCCCTGCCGTTGTATTCCCACCTTCGCATGTTATAGCTAACCCAACTGCCATAGCTCAATCCACCAAGCTCGTTTCCGAACAAAAGTGAGAGACAGATTTTTTTTTTTCTGTCTTTTGGGTCACAACTTGAGTTCGAACTTGAGACCTTTGATCATGAAATCAGTTCCAATATCCTTAAATTAACAGCTCATCGATAATATATTTTATTTTTAAGATTCTAGATAATGGAAAGGCATAAAATAGTTTATTTTTAAGATTCTAGAATCTAGATAACGGAAAGGCTTCAAATGAGCAGTCTTCCTTGACTAGCAGAGTGCATCTAGATAGCTTTTAAAGAGAAAGTGTCTCATGAAATATACCGTTTTCTTTGAATTTTGGAGGAGCATGAGTAGTTTGAAAGCTCGAACTTGGAGTAACATAATATGGACTGTAGGAACCACCCATCATCCGTGTATGACCCGCAAGTTGGATATGATGGACGTTTGACCTTTGCTTTGCACAAATACAAGATTTTTCTGTCAAGCGTAACCCAAAAATTAAACCACTACATCCAAGCTGTTACCCTAGAGTATTATTTATCTTATTTTAGGTAAACATAGGTTTTTTTTTTTGGAGAAATTCATGGATTTAATTTCCTTCTGCATATTTGTTGGTATAGCATTAAACTCTTAATTTAGTAATAAGGGTTCAAATCTTGACATCATAAAAAAAATAAAAAAACTCTGTATGTAGACTTTTGCCAAAATTGGATTATGATATTTTTCGTAGAGAATCGAGAAACTACGTATCCTAAGCTCTTGATATTCTAACGGAACAACAACCAAGTATAACAGTCATGCATACAAGTGATCTAAGGTCATGACGTGTTTGAGGTTAGAATGCTTGCCACAGAGACCTCAACCAAACCAAACGCCGAGGCCCTTTAATTGTCGTAAATGCGATTGCATTTTTATCATCTTTAAGAAAATTAACAGCCTTTGCAAACTCAGCATCATCCAATCCTTCCATGTCCTGCAACTCCTCCAGGCACTTTTGATACAAGGTTGTCTCATTGGATGATTCCCTTTGTGTAGTGAACTTGAATCCTGAAGACATTTCATCAAGGGTATTCTGTTTCTTCTCTGCTGCATTATAGCTTATTCGTTTCTCACGAGCAGAAGCTCTTGAAGCAACATATTTTCTCTTCTTTGGCTGTCCATCATTTACATGAAATACTAAATCGAAGTTAACAGGACGCTTGACTACTGATCCATGTAAGTTAGTGGGCTCTGCAGGCTGCACTTTGTCCTGTGAAGCAGAAATCTGGCCTCTGGCAACAATGGTGCAAGAGGTAGTCAAGATTAAAGAACATAAATGCAAGGATCCACAAATTTCAGCAGTTATTCTGAGTTTTTCTTTAGAATTGTTGAATCAAGACTCTGTCAGTAGTATAGAAATAAGTCCAACGTTTATTCACATGAGAAGATTGGTTGCAGAAGCTATGCGGAGGTTGAATGTGAAAAAAGCATATAAACATAATGAAAATTAAATTTGGCGTCATAGAGTTGTAATATATAAAGAAGGAAATCTCGAAACTAATATTTATACTTTAATCTGATCTTTCGGCCAACAGACTTTGACTTTCAAACCAACCAGATTCTCACCATAATCTATAGAAACTGATGCCTGCCAAAGAATTATTAGGAAAGCAAGAAGTTAGTAGTCCTCAACCTAACTAGAAGAAAATACAGAACAATTCCTTCAACATGTCAAGACAAGAAATCAAAAGGAAAAATAGCAAAGACAAAGGACACAGGTTTGAAGGCAATCAAAACGATAACAATTGAATAAGTAGAAAGCATGGAAACAAAATGTTCATAATAATTCATAAATAACATAAACAAAAGATTCCTTTAATTAAACAATCTAGACAACAAAATCAACATGCCAGAACATCAACTGAACAGCTAAAATTACAATTTAAACGCCCAAAGTACCTTGTCGCCATTCCTGGCTGAAGATTTTGTTCCATCCTTTCAGAAATACATTTTACTTGAGCTCTCTTTTTCTTAAGTTCCAGCTGCTTTGAAGACAATCCATCCATTTTGCTGCTGGCACCTAACTTCTTTAATGACTGCTTTAGTGATGTTGCCTTTGGGGCAGTTGCAGTGTCATTTTCTTTCTCAATTTCTTCTATTTCTGCAGGATTTTTATCGTCCTTGGAAACCGTAGCAGACACCTGTTCTTCAGGGCATTTATTTCCTTTTGCTTCTGAATCACTTGTTCCTTCAGATGCCTTTCTTAAGGCATTATCAACCACAGGAGTGATCTCCTTAATTATGCTGTCTTTCCTCCGGGGCTGAGCATCAGGGACAATCCCACTAAGTATTGAGAAAGTAAGACCGGTCACTTCATCCTCGTTTGCTTTAGGTGAGGGAGGTTGAATAACCGTATCTTCGTCATTTTGCAAGGATACAGCCTCATTAATCGACAAATCTTCGTGCAAAGAATCAGGGCCATCCTTGCTGTCCTTTTCATGGTCTAATAGGGTCTCAACTTCCTTCTCATAAATATAAATATTTTCAGAAGGTTCTGTAGATTCCAAAGTTGGTTGAATACCTGTCTCTTTTTCATTTTGCAAGGATACAGACCCATTAACGGGCAGGTGCTCATGTGATGCACCAGAGGCATCCTTGCTGCCCTTTTTATGGTTGGAAGGATCTCAACTTCCTTGGTACAATATACAGATTTTCAGAAGGTTTTGTAGATTCCATATTAGAAGGTTGAATACCTGTCCATTTCAGATTCTGCAAAGATACAGTCCCATCCATGAACAAGTCCTCATCCAATGAACCAGGGAGATCCTTGCTGTCCTTTTTTTGGTCTGGAACAGTCTCAACTTCCTTCTCAAAAATATACAAATTTTCAGAAGGTTCTGTAGATTCCAAATTAGATTTTGTCAATCTGTTATAGGCATCTGACTCAAATTCAGAATTGACCACCTTCTCAGTTCCCAAATCATCTGCTCCAGCAATGCTTAATGAATCAACATTTATGGGCTTATCAGCAAGATGGTCATGCTCGCTCTTCTTTAGGGAGTTTGAATCTGCCTCCCTGATTTGCATAACTACATCACTAGCAACCAACTTTGGAGATTTATAATTTGCAAGATCAACTTGTTTAGTGGAAGCTGATTGTTTACGAATCTCTTTATCCTCCTGATAGAAAATTCAATCATTTATAAGCTTTCAACTCTAACAACAAATATTGATTAGCAGGAAGAAAAATAATCCCTGGAAACCAAAGGTAGATAGATATGTAATGGAGACCTAAATAGACAGATAGCTGACAATTGCATACAAGAACAAAATGCGCCAGGCTGCCTTATTCACAGATAACCCTCTAGGCTCGCTTTCATTAGCCTATGGCAATGTAATAAAATAAAGGGACAAAGTCTGCTCAAAACATTCTCATAAAGTAGCGGTAAGTAGATGTCGTCACCAGCCAACAACATAAGACGTTTTGATGAATAACACAGACAAGGTAATAAAATCAAGTGGTGCACAATTTATTTGCAACCCATGCAAAGTGGACGTGCATACAGAAACACTACAGCAAGTGATTAAAACAGTGTCCTCAAAAAAAAAAGATGCTTCAGATACTATTGATACTACTGAGATACTTACTTTTTTGTCATTATTAGCAGCATCATTCTGCTCAACAGCATCAAGTCTCTTGGCATATAGAAGCAACTACTTTACTATAATAACATGGGGAAAAGCATGAGTTTTTTACAGCTTGCATTAGGCAAGGTTTGAGCTTTGACGTATAACTTGCAAGAACTCTGTCAACCAACTTCCAAGCTACAGGCAGAACTTCCTGTAAAACATTTTAGTACTCCATGAATGCAAGATAACCCAACAGAAGAGTAGAAGCTTACAGTTTAGTCAAATGCCAATGAACCTTATTGTCCTTTTTAACAATCAGAAAGATTGGGAAGGGTAGCTCCATAGAGATGTTTTCACTTTCTTTCAGGACATGGTCCATAATCATCTCCATGTAAAAAAAAACATTCTTCAGGTGATAATCCCTGAAAAACAAACAAACAAAATCATCAGAACATAATGATTTTGCTTGTACCGTACAGCATATCAAAACCATTTTTTTTATAAATACAACAACAACAACAACCAAGCCTTTATCACTCTATTGGGTCAACCAGATGTCGAAAACTCTCAGATGATGACTTTAGTCTGTACCTCATTGCATTAACAAAATGCTGGAACATTTCAATGATGAGTGCATCACAATCAAGATCCAACATCACTAAACATAACCTGAGCATGGCAACATTTCTAAGAACGTAGGTCCTCTTAACATATGAGCGGCTGGACTTATGAGATAGATCTTTCAATGACGATACAATCACTTTAAAGACTTCCTACACACACACACACATTAGTAGGGACAGACACATCATATAAAGGGAAAGCAGATTAAAAAAAATGTCTGGCAAAGCATCAAACAACGAATTAATCGAATTTAAAGCACCTTCATTCGGTGATCGTCATAAGGGGTATCTGGTGCAGTTATTCGGGTTAATTCACAGATGCAAGAAGCAACCGCAACTTTGACATCCTCGTTTGAATGTCCGAAAAGGTGTTTTGCAACCAATGCCTTCATTAATACGGACAGGGCATTTTGCATTGATTTGCTCAGCTTTGGATCCACTCTTGAAAGACAATTTTCAGGTTCCTAAGATTCATATAGAAAATCCCATTATTGGTACCAAAAGATCAGAAAAGTACATCAAATTAAAAAAAAATTAAACTACCTTTAACTATATATACATATAAAAAAGCTTAAAATTTATGAAAAAGGAATCAATTGCCTTTAAAATGAAAGAAGATGGGAATCTAAATTTGGGCTTACATCGAGAAGAGGGAGGAGGTGATCGGCATATAAAGGAGGGTTCATGTCATGCCCCGAGATCAAGACGTAACATGACCATATTACCTTGAAGAAAATCTCAAAATAATATGAAGCCTTCTTTCTTAAACATTCTAAAATTCTTCAATAAAATAATTAACCAAGTAAAATTCATATCTTTAATTCAACTAATGATAAATCTTTATATATCCAAATACAAACCATATAAAATATAAAACTGCCTTTTAAAATCTCATTGGCCAACATATTCTCCGACGATTAAGTAATCTTACCCATTTCATCTTCTAGCTTCACACAAGACTAACCAAACTTATCACTTAGTCATTTGTGAAGAAAAAGTAAAAGAGGAATGAGCAAACCATAACTCAGTAAGTATAGACTCATATACCTTATCAGACCAAGCATTGTTTTCTTACACATCATATAGATTATTCAAAACATTCATCAAATCATAATATCAAAACGTTTCAAGATCATCGTTTTGTCAAATATTTCATAAATTC